CGCGGTGTGATCATGTTAGCAAGCCCACCTTTCTATAGTGTTAGGGCCAGTAGTTGCTTCCGGCGTCGGCTAGTGTTCGGCCGGCCTGTGTTTCGAGTCGTCCCCTTCTGTTGTGCTAGTCGTAGGCAGTGGTTCGAGTTGCGCCGTCGTAGTTTGGGGCCTATTGGTGGTCGACGGCGCCCCCCGGAGTGGTGGGTGGTGTACCAGTGTTCTGATTATCATAGTTTCAGTAGTCGCGGAGATACCTCGTGTTTCCCCATGATTGATGATCGCTCCACCCCCACGATCATGAGTTGGAATGTGCGCATGCTGAACTCGCCGGTGAAAAGGGAAGCAGTACGAGAGGTAGCGGCGGCCCATAAAACTGCGATCCTATGCCTCCAGGAGACGAAGCTAGATGATTGGTCACCAGGGATCGTTCACGACATCGGTGGAGGCATGATGCAGGGATGCGCTGTGTTGTCGGCCATCGGCACACGCGGTGGAGCTGCCATCTTATGGAACAAGAATGTAGTCACCATAGCCACTCATGCCATTGGGAAATTTGCGATCACAACAAAGGTCACCCTCGTCTGCAGCCCCTCTTCTTTATGGCTCACTACGGTGTATGGACCGGCCGACGACGCGGGCAAGGACGATTTCCTCTCCGAATTAGCTAGGACTGCACCACCCGCTGCTGAGCCCTGGCTCATCAATGGAGATTTCAACTTGATCTACGAGGCGCGAGACAAGAACAACCACAATCTAAATAGGAGGCTTATGGGCCGTTTTAGAGCAGCGATCGACGGGGCAGGCCTTCGTCAGATCAAGTGTAACAACCGTAGGTTCACGTGGAGTAGCGAAAGAGAAAATCCTACACTAGTTAGCATGGACAAGTTCTTCTGCTCCTCGCCCTGGGAAGCCTTGTTCCCGCGCGCGGTGCTGATGGCTGTGTCAACTGCGTGCTCCGATCACTACCCGCTTTTGCTGACGGACGCTTCCGCTCCTCGTCGACGGGGAGGATTCAAATTTGAATCCTTCTGGACGCGGCTACCACGCTTCCACGACACGGTTATGGCCGCTTGGTCACGCCCGACGGCTACCACCTGCGCCTTCGCCCGGCTACGCACCAAAATGAGTCGGGTGGCCAAGGACCTGAGAATCTGGAGCAACAGCCTGATCGGGGACACGAGGATTCAGTTCCACATCGCCTGTGAAGTCATTCTGCGCCTGGATGTCGCTCAAGAGAGCCGGTGGCTCTCGACAGCCGAAGCGGAGCTCAGGAAGGGCCTGAAGATCAAGCTGCTGGGTCTTGCGGCGATCGAACGCTGCAGGAAAAGGCAGGCCTCCCGGCTCACCTGGATGCGTGCGGGAGATGCTCCTACCAAGTTTTTCATGGCCAAGATCAGCTCAAGAAGACGCAAGAACTTCATCAATGCCCTGAAAGTGGGAGACAGCATCGTGACTGCACATGCAGAGAAGCAAAAGGCAATTCACGAGCATTTCAACTGCATTCTAGGATCCACACAGCATCGAGCTACGTCGATCAACTGGGATGAGCTGTGTATGCCTGCGCTGCAAGCAAGCGGACTGGACAACCCGTTCTATGAAGAAGAGGTTTGGGCGGCGATCAAGGATTCACCGGTGGAAAAATCGCCTGGGCCTGACGGCTTCTGCGGGATGTTCTTCCGTAGCTGTTGGAGCATCATCAAAGAAGACATCATGCACGCGTTTCAGCAGTTCTACCACCTGGCCAGGCAAAACTTTGGGGCTCTGAACACTGCGATCATCGCGCTCATCCCCAAAAAAGACGGAGCAAGCTGCATCGCTGACTACGGGCCAATTAGCCTGATCCATTCAATTGCCAAGTTGATCTCCAAAGTTCTCTCGCTCCGACTGGCCTCTGTGGTGCAGTCTATCATCTCACCCGCTCAGACGGCTTTCCTGAAGACCAGGTGCCTGCACGACAGCTTTGTATACGTCCAGAACTGTGTCAAGAGCCTACACCGCAGAAAAACACTTGCAGTCCTCTTGAAACTTGACATCTCGAGGGCCTTTGACAATGTCTCCTGGGAGTATCTACTAGAGCTGCTCACAAGACTAGGGTTTAGTGCACGCTGGCGGGATTGGATCTCGCCACCTCATCGTCGGCCATCCTCCTCAACGGTTCACCAGGCGCGCGCATCCTTCATCGACGGGGCCTGAGGCAGGGAGACACACTGTCCCCCCTCCTATTCATAATCGCGATCGACCCCATCCACCGGCTGCTTCAAGCTGCCGAGGAAGCCCTGGAGATCATGCGAGTCCTTGGCAGAGAGGTAAAGCTCAGGGTGAGCCTGTACGCCGATGATGTGATCATCTTCTCAAACCCCGACAAGAAGGAGATCGATCACCTGATGCATATCCTGCAAAGTTTTGGCGACGTCTCGGGCCTCCGGATCAACCTTGCCAAGTCCACGGCCACGCCAATCCACTGCAACAACATCAACCTGTAGTATGTTCTCCAGGCGTTTCGCGGCCCGATCGCCAACTTTCCAATTAGGTATCTAGGTCTTCCAGTTACAGCGGGACGACTCCCACTAGTTCACCTGCAGTTCATCCTTGATCGTATCCGTGCCCGGCTTGCGGGGTGGAAGGGACGGATGCTGTCCATGGCGGGCAGGCACGCTCTGGTCCGCTGCGTCCTCTTGGCCCTGCCCACCTTTGCTCTCACATTGCTACGAGTCCCAAAGAAGTTGCTGAAGGAAATCGACAAATGCAGTCGGCGTTTTCTTTGGGGAAAGGATCAAGAACTCACGGGCGGCAGTTGCAAGGTCAGCTGGGAACGGGTCTGTTCCCCGGTTGAGCACGGCGGACTCGGTGTCCTGAACTTAACCAAGTTCAGTCGCGCGCTTCGGCTGAGATGGCTATGACACAGTTGAAAAAACCCCACTCGGCCTTGGGTGGGTACGGAGCCACCATGCGACGCCTTCGATCATGCTCTGTTCAACGCAGCGATGGCTGTCTCTGTAGGCAACGGAAAAACAGCGAGCTTCTGGCACTGCTCATGGCTCGGGGCAGTGCCGCTGAAGTTCTGCTTCCCATCTCTCTTCAAGCACTCCAGGCGCAAGGGCAGAACTGTGGTGCAAGCCATCAGCGGCGACCGCTGGGTTTTGGACCTAGCGCATGGCAACAGCATCGAGCTTATCAGCGAGGTTATCTCCCTGTATCGATTCATTCAGCGTCGGCAGCTCAACCTTCAGGTAGAAGAGTAGGACCAAATACGTTGGAGCTCGGAGGGGTCAGGCCAGTACAGCTCCCGCTCGGCCTATGCCATCCAGTTTTTGGGTTCGACGTCGGGAGCATATCAGGCCATGATCTGGAAAGCCTGGGCTCCGGCCAAGCTAAAGATGTTTGCGTGGCTCCTCCACCAAAACCGGCTATGGTGCAATGATCGTCTCCAATGCAGGGGCTGGCCAAACTGCTATTTCTGCCAGCTGTGTTTGAGAAACCTAGAGACGGCGGGGCACCTGTTCTGGAGCTGCCCCTTTGCGAAGACTGTCTGGGCAAGTTTATCCTCCTGGCAGCGCTGCCAGGGGCTCAGCATCGCGTGCGAATACATCGACAACAGCTCACTGGAAATTATGGAGGCCATGGTAGCAAGCGACGTAGCCAGCGCATGCAAAAGGGATCAAGTCTCTAATAATGCTCGTGCTTTGGAAAGTTTGGCAGGAGCGCAACAGCCGCGTTTTCAGGAAACAAGAGGTGACTGCGCAAGATGTCATCAAGGCCATCAGGAGAGAACTCTGTCTTTGGCAACAGGGAGGTTTCAAGCACATCCAGAGCCCCTTCGGGGATCCGCCGTGAGATTTTAGGGTTTTAGCTCTAGGGGCCTCAGGCACCCCCGCCTTTGTGCCCTTTTCGGTAGTTTTTCTTTACTCCTTGATCCCTGGATCGTCGCCTTTGCCACTTTGTCATCTGCTCCCTGCTTAATCAATGAAACACCAGGCTTTGCTGGCCAGTTCAAAAAAAAACACAATCGTTGGTTGAATGAAGCACTTTCATCCTCCCAAAACGATTTTCCTCTAATGAATAATAATCCCCAATACATGTTTGTTGTAGCCAAAAGCTCAATCGTGGCAAGGGCCGCCTCTCTCCGTCGAGGCCGACAAGACTGCACCTGGTGAGATGCTTCTTCGAGCCTCGTGCAAAAGAAAGGGAGCTTTCTGCAGCGGCTAGTTTAGACTAGCCATAGTGGGAGTAACTTCAGCAGTAACATCGAGTCCAACTCAACAAATTTGCTTATGTGGCAGTGAGTTAATGAGGAGAGAGATGGTTATGGTAACTTAGCTAGTTACTATAACATCACATGTCCCAATGAAATATGAGTCTATAACCTAATAAATGAAGCTTTGCATGTTACCACACTTATGTTACTACCCACTGTGAAGGTAGTAACATAGTCTAGGGACATGTGTATGTTACTAGTGTATGTTACTACCCATTGTGACTAGTCTTATGCTTCAGTCAACGCAAGAAATGCATGTAATAAAATTCTTAATAATTCAATTAATAGCTTACGAAAGAAATAATTTCCTTCTGTAAATAGGAGATGCGCAAATCTTCTTCGTGTTCTAAAAACAGAAACAGAAGAAGCTGAGTCGTCGTGTATTCGTACTCGTTCCGTTCAGAAAAAAGCATTGCAATATTGCCAAAAAGAAAAGTAGGCAAGTAGGGGAGGATCGTGTTGGTGCCCCGCGGCCAAACGTTCGGGGAAGAACCAACCATGGCGCACCGACCAGGTCGCTGCCGCAACAAAACCGACGCGGAAACGAGTGGAAAAGTCCCGGTTTTTCGCCGTCACGGCGAGGGCGAGGCCCCGCCTTTAACCCCGGGCGCGCCGTTTGTTAAAACCCGCGTCTTTGACTCGCTCCGCCCCCCGTCCCGTGCCATCCGGCTCCCTTGAGTCCAAACCCAGCAACCGGAGCGGCGAATCTCGGCAGGCACCACCGCCCAGCAAGCAGCCGCCGTCAAGGCCAGCGATGACTGCCGGCGCCGCGAGCGCGGGCGCGGTCCGGCGGGCGGTCGACAGGGCGTGCGCGGCCGCCAGGGGGGCGCGGCGCGCGCTGGCGCGGTTCGCGCCGCGGCCGTCGGCGTTCGGCGCGGCGGCGGACGCGGAGGCCGCGGCGGTGCGCGGGGTCCGCAACGCGCGCACGTTCCGGTACCACTACGCCGCGCTGCAGTGGGCGCTCCTCCTGGCGTCGCTGGCCGCGGCGGGCCACCGGGCGTCGGTGCTCTTCCTCATGGCCGCCTCCAAGGTCCTCCTCGTCTGCCTCGGCCTCCTCGCGCCGTTCCCGAGATTGGTGCTGCTCCGCCGGCTCGTCGCCGCGGCGTTCGTCGCGCTCGTGCTCGCCGACATCGCCGCGGCCGGCGCCGTGGCCAACCTCATGGCCGCGCTGGCGGTGGGCGTTCCGGTCATCGTGCTCCACGCCTCGTTCCGCGTCCGCGACGACCTCGAGGGGCCCTCCACGGAGAACGGCGAGGAGGAGGAGGCGGATGAGGAGGCGGCGGTCGTGGAGAAGAGGGAGGACGGCGATACGGAGGCAGGCCCCACGCGGCGGTCCACGGCGGTCGCGCCTCGATCACCAAAGTGACGGGCGGTGCGAGCTAGGCGGCTGGCTGATCGATCAGACGATTCAGAGTCTTGGTCAAAACTGTCTAACGATCTTGACTGCTTCTTGATATAGATCAATCATACTACTGGTACTCGTATTTTTGGCTGAAGTTTCGAATCGAATCGGCTAATACTCCTACAACAACTGGACGATGAATGAGGATTACGTAGACCCGATGTGGATGCATCCATTTCCTTAGTGTATCTATTGGACTAATCTTTGATCATATATACACTTAGCAGAAAGCCAGAAAAGAATGAAATACATAATCAAAATTGGCACTCGGATTTACTGTGACAATATACATTTTGTCACTGCATCGATCTGAACACTGGATGCGAGCTTGCATTCATCTTGACCGCAGCGACGGGTGAACGGCTCTGTTCGCACCGCCAGTCCTGCAATGTACTCCCTCCGTCCGGAATTACTTGTCGCAAAAATAGATAGAAATGGATGTAACTAGAACTAAAATATGTCTAGATACATCCACTCCCACGAGAAGTAATTCCGGACGGAGGGAGTAGGTGTAAACAACTATTATCTCTCTAAAATTATCTAAGGGCATGTATAATGATTGATAAGATAGTCTTATCTTAAGTCTTGCATGTGATTTAGAGATGACAAAAAAAATTGTCTACAATGGGTCCTCTCTTAGCCTTTTCTTGAATAACTAGCAATTCCTAAAAATATGATGAGACATATTGTGTTAAAAGATCACCTCTTGCCTTCTCTTAAATAAAAAAAGACAAGCATTTTCTTATGAGTTCTCTCTCCTCCACCTCATCATCTATCCTACGTGGCACGGGAAAATATCAGGTGCTCCGGGAGCACCTAAGCTTAGGTGCTCCCGTGCGAGCTCAGCCGTTGGATCTTAGATCCAAGAGCTCCTGTGAAATGATGAACATTTTTGCAAAAAAGCCCTCAAAAAATCTAAAAAATGCGCACAAGTACAGCAGCTACAGCAGCTCCCTGTTTGCCGTTGGATCTGAGATCCAAGGGCCCAGAAGTCCGTATCATGGGAGCACCTATGCTCCCGTATCACAGGATACTCTCCCTACGTGGCACTCCTAAGATAACACCATTGTACATGCCCTAATCTAGCATAGGGATCCCCGAGAAATTTTCTTTTCCTTCTTTTTCCTTTGTGACCGTCTCCACCACGTGGCGCATTTGTGTTGCTGCGATTGTGATTGTGTGCTTGTTTGAAACACAAGTTTCTGAATTTAGGCTGATATATTAGTTTTTGGGTAGATGATGAATTTTAGGGCACGAGGTCCCTAGTAGATGATGTATTTTAGCCACTCAAACTTCTTCTTTGTTGATCTTGGTATCGACGACTCCTCTTCCATGATCGACAGAGGTGGCGGCCGCGGCGGGAGGCGGCGATGTGTAGCCTTGGCGGCGGCGCCACCTCGTCCTTACGGCACGGCGACCTTCTTCTTGCCCCGCGCGACTGCGCCGTGTAGGTGCAAATCCACCTCCTCTTCCACGTCCGGTGGAGGCGGCGGGTAGAACGGGAGGGGTCGTGCCTACGGCGAGAATGGGGCGAGGGACAGTCACGACAGTGACAGAGATGGCGGACGGTGTTGACATGGCGGCGGATCACCGGCTGGCGGCCAATCGCAGGCGACGCGCATGCATGGTGAAGGACCTGGAAGTTAACAAATTGGCAGTTACACGTGTGCGGGGCTGCATGCGTTTTACATCACACCCCAAGTGATGTATATTTACATCACGAGAGGTAAAATATAAATCGTGATGTAAAAAAATGGCCAAAATTTACATCACGGGCAGCTGTTGGAGACTTGTTTTTGCCTCCAGGTGGTGTAAAAGTGTTTACAAACTATTTTACATCACCTATTGGAGATGCTCTAATGTGTGTGTGTGTATATATATATATATTATTAAGCATATGTATTACAAATTCATCATGTCTATATAATACCTAAATAGTTCATCCCCACTGTCCTTTCTCTTGACATGCAACCTATTCACCTCAGCAATTATGCCACATCAGCAACTCTTGCTTGTGTATACCCCGTTTTGCATTCTGGTACTTTTCTTTTGCATTATGTTACGGAACCGACCGAACACAAGTGGACCAGAACAAAATCGAACCGGAACAGATCTCTCCCTCCCTCGATCAGGTCGTAGGCCAGCAGAAACTTGACACAAAGCTTGAAGCGAGGTGACATGTAGACCTGACCTTCATATGTCCAATACTATTTGTATATGTATTTATCTCCGATGATATATTGATATGAAGATTAATTGCTCTTTATTAGGCAGATTACGGATGTAGTTCCATATGTTTGCCACACACTAAGAAAACTACAAGATTTAATGTTGTATAATAATATTTATTCTATTTTTGCAATTTAATAAAAAAATTGCAGGTTTAAAAGAAGTTTATTCCAAAGTAACATGCTTACAGTCCGCTTTAATAATTATATTTATTGATTATTCATTTATCATGTTCCATGCTACCATGCTTAGAAAAAGAATGAGCTACAAATTAACAGGCTAATGTTATCCCATACAAATGTCTCGCAGCAACGCACGGGGTATTATCTAGTCATATAAATCAATAACAACATTTTCTAAATAACACATATAATGCAATTTTTGTCTTACAGTAAAGACGCTGTACCTATTTATGAATTATCTAGTAAATAAAAATGGAACCATACATTTTTTATGCTCAAGCATTGACACCATACTATTTTCAGTAATAAAATTATACATGTTCTAAACAAGAATGCTAAAAAAATCAGATATATTTCTCTGACAACTACGTATGCTCTGATATATCACCCGGTATCTTATAACCCATGCGTCAAAGCCATTGAAACATTAGTTCCAAATGTTTTTGAGTTATGACTCAAAGTTGACCGATGAATAACTGCTGTTAATCTTGTAGCATATATATTTCAGGGATTTAGCGCAAATTGTTTCAGGGAATAACCGAAATTATTTCTCCGAGTGGAAGTCTTTCTTTCATTTTTCTTTTCGAGGGACAATTCTCATTTCATTATTTTTGAGAAGAAGTTCTTCTTTCATTTTTTTTTGAGGGTACGTTCTTCTTTCATTTTTTTTTTGAGACAATCTTCTCTCATTTAGGGGTTTTGATTGATAGAGAGCTGGTCCTATTCAGCCCACAAAGCCTTTGTTTCTTGCTTGGTCGCGGCAGCAGCACTGAATAAGGCCCAGGCCCGTAGCACGGTACGACACCACCGAGAGACACGTGCGCGGCGGCCGGGCCGGCCGCTATATATTCGCTCGAGCCCCTCGCTAGGGTTTCCCTCACCCTCCCTCGCAGTCCAAACCCAATCAGAAATCTCAAGCTTAGCACAGAAGCAAAACAATGGCGGAGCAGACCTTCATCATGATCAAGCCCGACGGCGTCCAGAGGGGCCTCGTAAGCGCCCCCTCCTCTAATCTTCTCTCCCGTCGGCTCGTTTGCTCCGCTGCTAGCTCGTGCTGACATCTGCGTGCTCCTGTTTTTGTTTCTGCTTTAATCAGATCGGCGAGGTCATCAGCCGCTTCGAGAAGAAGGGCTTCTACCTCAAAGGTAACCAGTACAACTCTCACGTCTGTGCTTGAATTACGGTTCTGGTGAAGATTTGCTTGCTGATCTGCGAGCTGGCTATGCAGGTTTGAAGCTCCAGAACGTGGAGAAGTCGTTCGCCGAGCAGCACTACGCCGATCTGTCCTCCAAGCCCTTCTTCGCTGGGCTCGTGGAGTACATCGTCTCCGGCCCGGTCGTCGCTATGGTCTGGGAGGGCAAGAGCGTCGTCTCCACTGGACGCAAGATCATTGGCGCCACCAACCCCCTGGCCTCTGAGCCCGGCACCATCCGTGGTGACTTCGCCGTCGACATCGGCAGGTGAGATTTTACCCTGAAGTTGTCAGTGAGAAAGTAGTTATTAAGTTGAATAGTGTATAGCTTATCCTGATTGCGTGTTACCGTGCCTTTAATATTCATTTCAAAAATCCGCATACTTGAATGTGTAGTGTAGATACTATGCTCATGTAGTTAATTAGAAGATAAGATTGTGTTGCAGACTACTTATTCGGCTCAGTCAAATCAAATATTTGATGTCGTCTGAGTTATTTAGCCTGTTGAGGCTTAGTGGAAACTAAGACAACTAAGTCTAAATCGTCTAAAAGAGGAAACACCTTGTGCTTTTTACATGAATTGTTCAGTTCATAAAATCTTGTTTGCGTTATTTGTTGATTTATTCAGACTCTAGTCGTTTCATTGTAGGACAGAACTTATGGCTCATGGTTTTTGTATGTGTGCACTTCAGTCATTCATGTATGATTTGGAGTAGAGGATTGGCTTGTGATGATTCAGGTCCGAAAGGATCTTAGCGGATTTCGGTGAGGCAGATTTGTCTGTCATTGATCGATTCATGTTGTTACACACACTGAAGCCTTTCTGTAATCTATTTCATTGATTTTGTCTTGGTTTTCATTCATTTTTTCTGCGATGCGATGATGATTCATATAGGTTTTTGGCAGTAGTGGCATCCGTCACTGTGAGCCTTCAAACCAAAAACGACTTCTCTTTCCACTGAGCATTGCTTTATTCCACTTGGTCCTCCCGGTTACATATTGTGAGATGGTTTTTGCTTTTATGTCTTTATATAATGCATCTTGTCTTGTTGAAGAGCTCTAGACCATAGGAAGTGCCGTATGACACTGTAAACAGCAGCTGTTTCTCTGCTGCTGTAAGTGTCCATCCTCATATCATAACCTTTGTGGTTTTGTCTGGGATGGAATTACCCATTTGCACCGGCTTGATTCAGCTGTGTGCTTGATTTTAAACGGGTCTCTGAGGGATTTCTGCAATGCTTTCTAATCTTCTTTCTCTTAACTAGATTATATTGTCAATATTTTCTTGATTTTGCTTGGGCCCGATGCCACATCTCCATTAGCGACAAGCCTTGACTGGAGATGCTACATTGTGCCGAGAGAGAGTTCTTGGACTTCTCACATTTGATAGGAACCTGTGGCTGTGATTCAGTCGGTGCACAGAGCCGTTTTTTTGTGATTACACTTCTTGACTGCATAGCCATAAAATATATTTGTTGTAGTTGTTTTTGAAATTTGGGGAATTCAAATGGTGATGATGATAGAACTAAGGCTTGTTTCTCAAAACATTCGCAGTTGCCGCCTAAGAGCTTTCGCCCTGCCAGGCTTGAGAGCTAATGCTGCCAATTCCTTCCTTGGATGTCTGAGCCATGTTGATTTTCTTTGTTCTTAATCTTCTCTTTTGATATCAGAAAAATATTACTCCCTCCGTTCACTTTTGTAAGTCGTTTCAGACAACACAAAATAGGTTGTTTTGCACATTGTCTGAAATGTCTCCAAGGTCTTATAAAAATGAACGGAGGGAGTACAATGTTGTAGGCCATGAGTGCACTTGAACCTGCTGTGTATTGATGGCCTGTTTAACACTAGTGTCTCCCTTCGTATCACTATGTATTGTGCTATCTGGTTGCATTCTAAAACTTTTATCTGCATCATCCAGGAACGTCATCCATGGAAGCGACTCAGTTGAGAGTGCCAGGAAGGAGATCGCCCTGTGGTTCCCTGAGGGCATTGCCGAGTGGAGGAGCAGCCAGCACAACTGGATCTACGAGGCCTAAGATGTGTCATGAGTGGTTGAGTGCAGGTTTCGCAAAGCATCTACCAAACTAGTCTTTGGTTGTTTACAGTTTTGAGATTTGTATCTCGGGAACCTTGTTTGTGTGAACTGAAGTTATCTCCTTGTGCTTGAGCATGCAAGCGGTATCTGCTGCTCTATATTTACTATATGGTATTGAGTTGCATTTCATGTTTTGGTTGTGGCTTTGCCATGATCTTTACAGCAAATTGGTGTGCTTAATTTTGTTGATGCACACTCAATGTTATAGAAGTGTGTTAGCGAAAACTATTAACATCGTTAACAGCATTGGCATTGTAGATGTTAAAGGCAATATGTAAAGACATGACTCTGGGGAACTCCCTGAAGCGTGGCAATGGATGGCAGCGACGGTAATAAATGGAAGCGAGTAAGAGCATTCTCCATTAGATGATAGGTGCACCAAACTATTTGCACAAAAGTTCATTTTTACATCACCAAAAACCGTTACTCTACTCTACGCGTTGGCCGGCATTTTAGAAGATCCGCCGCCTCGTGAGCAGTCTGTTGAACGTCCACTTTTTTGCAACAATGATCTTGTTGCGGAAACACTGGTAACAGAGATTGTGTGGCGGATATTTTTGTAGCATAGTTGTGTGAATATATTTTTACAACATAGATTGTGTCGCCGAATTTTTTTCCTGCCTTCACTTTTTTTTGCAACAAAGGTATTGTTGTAGAAAAACTTTGCACCTCAACTGTTGTTGCAGATTTTATTTTCTTTGTTTTCACATGATGGTATTAGGAGAAAGTTCTGCAACATGACTGTTATTTCTGTGCAAAACAAGTTGTTTGCTATGATCATGTTGGATGGTGGTGAGGGAGGAGCGGCACTGCCTGCCCCCGCCATCACGCCGCCGGCGGCGTGCCCCAAACCTCTGACCAGGTCGCCTCGCTGCCATCCTCCTGTCCGGCAAGGTGGGTGCCTTTAATCCCCAAACCTCCGACTAGGTCGCCTCACCGCCATCCTCCTCTTCGACAAGGTGGATGCCATTAATTGCCGCGGAGGCACTTGCGTACAGAAGAGAAGAGAGGTTGGTCTAGTAGGCCACTTGTCTATCATGGAAGACGACGAACACCTGTGCTAGATCAGCCAGTTGAGCGATAGCCTTTTTCCATAAAATAGGTGTTTCAAAATACATCATGGTTGCCTTCCTATGGGGGTTCTATTTACATATCTTTTGGAGCAACAAAAGATGATTTGTGGAGGTGTGGGAGAAAAACTAAATCTGAGTCTGATTTAATTCTTTTTCACACATAGACGAATGCGATTCCATTGTGAAAATTTACATGCATAAGAAAAAAGCGTCATCTTTTGTCAAAAAAGTTATTTTTTTTGAAATTATTGTTCATCTGGTGATACATCTGATGATTCAATTTTTTGTCAAATGCACCTTAGGACGGTGATGCAGAGCATCCTACGGCCATCCCCATGGACCTATCCTCGTCTCCTACGACACCATATGGACCAATGACTAGAGCTCGAGCAAGGGCTATTGAAACTAAGGTGAACTCCCTCCTCTCCAAACTTACACATTCTTCATGTGAGACATGACTACTACCTCAAGCGGAGACCCTATGTGTGCTCAGGTACTTAGAGGATAGCCACGGAACAACTACATCTAATGAACAAGATGGCGAGCACACCAAGTACAAGGTCTAAGAGAAAGAGCTGTCAGGAAACTACAGCCTCCGGACGACTGGACCATGCTGGACGTCCGACGCCTGGAACACCAGCCAACGAAAGGACCCAGCCAACTAGTGCTACAACGCCCGGACGACCGACACGGTCCGGACGTCCGACACCTCCCAGCGCCCGGACAATCGAGCCCCATCCGGTGCCACCATCACAGTACGAAAATAACGGAAATTTGAGCCCTTTCGGACGTCCGACGCCCTCCGGACATCCGACGACACCTGACAAGAGCAGAATCACCGAACATCCGGGGCCCTCCGGGGGTCCGACGCCTGTCTGCGCACAGTGACTAGGACCGAGGCCCATGTACCCCTTCGCCACCTTAGACTATATACTCTGATGAGGACATGACTACCTTGAATACGACCAAAAATATTGCATACATGTATATTTGTGAGGTGATTTCTAATGCAAACTATGCAATAATTTATTTATGTCATCCAGGACAAAAATACTTCACAAACTTTTGTGCCATGTCTAATTGCAGGTGTATGGGACATTTGTACAATCCACATATGAAGATAAGGGAGAAAGAGAAATTTACTTGATGTTCAAAAAGTTCTTTCACGTCACTTTTGGCCTAAGAGAAGATAGAGTCCAAGTCTCTCACGTTCTGGATTCAGATTCGGACTGCACAGACATACCTGAATCAAAACGCCAATAACTTTTTCATACGAACTCCGAATTGGATGATTCTTTTTTTTTGCTCGAAAGTAGATTTCGTGCACTTTCCAACCCAATTGGATTCACCTTCAAATTCATCCGGAGCGTTGAGTTATGGACGAAACAATCTGATGCTGCAGCAGAATCCGAGTCAAACTACAAGTCCAAAGGTGTTACGTCACCTCCACTTGGGCCCATTGGCCTTGTACGGCCTAGGGTTAGTTTTCGGCTGCCTTGGGACATCCTCCCACCTCCTTGGCCGCCACCCCTTGCTCCTATATAAGTAGATCCATCTAGTAGCTTTTTCCTTGGGATTTGTTTAGTTAAAAGTTAGCCATTGCAACTTCGTATACTTCGTTTGTGTCCAATGACCAGACCAAGACCGCTTACGGATCCACACCTTTATCAGTACTTCATATATATGTTCGCAATAGACCTTCGTTGTCAGATTGCTTTATCATATTCTTGCTTGTTCTTCGATTGCTTGCAGGAATAGACCTTTGTTGTCAGGTTGATCGTGCTTCGGCGTGGTCAATAACCTCTCGGAGTTGGTTTAGCGATTGCTAAGGCGCAACGTCGTGCATGTTTGTAGTCGGATCGTCAAAGTCGTCTCCACCAAATTGATAGTTATCATCTCATCGAAAGGTCGGGACACCCCGCCTCTATCAAGTGGTATCAGATTTCCAGGTTGCTCGGTGAGAATTTCTGTTATCCTTAGATTAGATTTATTTTGTTACTTTTTGTCCAAGAAAAAGCCACAAAAAAAGTTAGATCTATTCATCCTTTATTCAAGCCAGTCTCACCCTTTGCAATTTTCTATTCATTGCTTGCATAATTGAATTATCGGTTGCATCATCGTGTCGAGTTGCTGGTCTCAGTGTCTAGTTCATTTAGAGTTTCGAGTTCTGTTCACATTAGTCACACCACCGCTGCATCGTTATCCCTTCCGCTGTCCACTACACATCCATCAGTTTCCATCACGTGCTACCCATCGTTCATTGTCATAATCATAGTTGAGATCGTTCACATCTTCACTTGATCTAATCTGCATCTTATCTAGTTTGTTTTGGAAGGAGGGAGAGAAAAAAAGTAAAAAAAAAGTCAGAGAAAAAAAAGAGAAAAAAAGTGTGACGAAAAAAGATAAAAAAAACAAAATTCAGATCTATCTAGACTCAATCTCGTAGTTGAATTCGGATTGTAATCTGGTTTGCGCACTGTTCAGTAAAATAGGCATTACCTTCCTCATACGAAGTCCGTTTTGGCTCCGCGAGTACTCAAATTAAAGCTAGTGACAAGACGCATCTAAATAGTTTTAGAAGCTAGTTCAATATTTGGCACTTCAAAATCGGCTTCTAAATAGGTCTTTTTGCCCTCCAAAGTTCGCGAACACAGCTTGTTCCAGTTTTTCAGGCCAGTTTTAGAATTTTTTGGCTCCTCATATCAACTCGGAATTGAGTGATTCTTTTTGCATTTGAAAGCTTGAGTTAGTAGCATTCTTTGAAAAAAGTTATCAAAAAATTGGCTCAAACTTTTCAAGAGGAAAGTTGGAGAGAGAGTTGTTGTATATCCTGCTTGGCAGTTGTTTTTCATCATTATCTTTACTGCCGTTGTGATCTTCACTTATATCTTGTTGTCCAGAGCTACTTAGTATCCTTCATTGATGCTAGTTGTGCTACGCCGTGACCTCATTAGTGTTCTAGGCTCGCATCTCTAGTCCGGTCTAGCCTAGGACCAGCACAGTACCGTCGTTGAGCGTTTATTCAACATTGCATCTTTGAATTGATTATTGCTAATATTTTGCTACCATATATAGCCAACCCAGCTCCACATATTTCTACACCGTGTATACGTAGGTTTCCCTGGCAATCGCTTTGCACAATGTTTAGAGTTACTTGACACCGCTGGTTGCTTGTCACCACGTGCCGCATGGTAAGAACTTGTAAGATATTGATATTTGCTTTACTATGAGCACTTTACAACCACATCCTAGTAGTTCATAGGAACATTATTCTCGAATTTTGTTTCTTGTTTCTACTAATCATGACAGGTTCCGGAGATAGAAGTTCTCGGACGACGGACACATCTTCACCATCACGAGAGTTGGGACAACACACACAAGCATATGGCCAGGTTATGTCTTTACCATCATTTGAGGGTAGATTTAATCCTGCTATTTATCTAGCTTGGGAGCTTGAATTAGAAGAAGTTTTTAGTCACCATGATTTTTCTGAACTTGAGAGAGTACGAGCTACCACTAGAGCATTTACTGCTTTTGCTTCTGTTTGGTGGAGTGTACATTGCAAGAAAAACATTGATAACCAACCCACAACTTGGAAAGTTTTGAAAGTTGTAATGAGACAATAATTTTTCCTCCTTACTATCGTCGTGAATTGCTTCGCAAATTGGAACAATTAAAAGAAGGTAGTAACACTGTTCATGCTTACTACCAAGAGTTCAAATCTTATATGCATCATTGTGACATAGAAGAATCTGAGGATGATAAAATGAATAGATTTTTTGGTGGTTTGAACCATGATATCCGTGCAAGATTTCACTATATTCCTCGTTGCATTACTGGTATGTATGTTTGCGCTTGTACCTTTGAGAGACAGATACAGGAGGATGCATTGGGTGACTACAACAACTACTATTCCAGTT